ATTTGCTCTGTTCTACTTGTTCACATTTTATCTTAGTACAAGGAGAAATAAAACTCGCCAGAGTGGACACTGTGAGCATTCTTTTCCTCCCTCCTCTTTCCTCTCATGATGCTGAAATGAAGTAGATTGGACATCTTTAGATACATTTTTTATTGTGAATGATCAGATGTAGCTTTCTGTTTAACCTGAAATTTTAATTTAATTTAATTTTGTAAAGTAATTTTGAAAACGTAGGATTCATTGTCAGCTTTAGCGCATTTGACAAGACATAAAATAAGCTTTGGGAAAAAATGGATATTTTAATCAGTCTGATTTCCTGTGTTCTCTTGAAAAAAAACATGCAGCTACTTGTAACCAAGCCCAACAGCGTGCCTAAGTCACCGAAGCTTTTATACAAAAAGCGGAATCACAAAACACCTTAATATTAATTCCTTTTATTACTAACATCCAGCAGCCTACACTGGAACCCCTGGCCGCACGCAGAAGCCTCAAGTTAACTTTCGTGTCGCCTTTGCCGCTCGCCTGGCACCGCCGTGCGCGGGGTGCGCACCACGGACAGCGCCCGGCCCAGCCCCGGCGGTGCGCGGAGGCGGGCGGCCTCCCTCCTTCAGCACCACGGAGAGCGCCGCTCGGCCCCGCCGCCGAGCCACGGCGCAAACGCGGCGCGTGTCACTCCGGGTGTCAAAAAAGCATTTTTTTTCCTCCAATGATTTCACAACACAGAGAGGAAATTAAAGTATTTCATCCGTTCTTTTAAAGACACATATTCCACCCTTGACTATGGTAGCTGGCCCGCTCTTTTGTGGAGTTTTGGCTCTACCATCACACAATCGCCTAACGCTCTGTGGCAACATCCCCCCTCCCTTCTTTCAGCCCTTAGCTCCCACCTTGAAAGACAGTCGTAGTTAACTCAGAATCATTTCCTCAAGAATAGCAGCTCCTTATCAAAAAGTAAATCTTGCAAGCCATCAAATGCTTAGAACTCACTGAATGTGTGGTGGCTGAAGACCATTTATCCATTTATAAAATACACAGTTAACTAAAGCCTCACACTTCACCACCCCAGAGCCCTTTCCTGTTAATTGGATTTTAGCTTCATTTCTCCTTCTGAGGGAAGAGGGAGAACCTTTGAAAAGATATTTTTGTCCACACTCCAGAATAATTTCAATATGCAGACAGGAAAATGTTTTAAACTCTTTTCATATTTCCTTCCATATAAGACATATGGTTCAACGGTTGGAGATGCCAGAAAAAATATTTTTACTGGAGAATCTGAGATTGTCTTCCAGGGGGCTTACCACCGCTGACACTCAGTTCTTTACTGATTACAGTCTTTATGAAACTGCCCTCTACACTTCAGTGATCAACAGCAGCAGCAGCTGGGAGATCTACAATTCCTTGGTTATATATTTTGATTTATTTTACACCTTGGCCATCTACAGTGGACGTGGCAGTCACACATCTTTAATACACAGAAACAACGTTCAAGTGAAACTGACATAAAAAAATAATATTCTGGCTATAGGGGAGGACAAGATAAATAGAGCATGTAAGGCCATTAAATCTCTTCTGGGTAATGAAAGCCCACTAAATTCTTTAGATCTGTGTCAAATGCAAACGGTGATCTTATGCACATACTGTTTCATTTGGAAAGGGGAGATTTGTGATTCTGACTACCTTATTATATCAAGCACTTTTTTTCTTCAGACTATATCTAGATGTCCTGTTACCATAATAAAACTTAATCCTGCTCCAGCTAGCTGCCACCTGCTGGGATATATACTTTTACCACAGTACTTTAAAAAGGAAATGGTTTTCATTTTCAAGTCATAGCTATCTATGCCTATAAGAACTGATGATACGATTTTTTTATCAATCAGTTGCCTTATACCACTTAATCTACTATTTTTTCATCTACTAACAACAACCGACATAAATTTAGTATGCACAGAACATATGGTCCCTGAAGCTTTGTTTCTTGGACATTTTTCGGCAAATCCTTGTGAACACCTCAGACTTGCATGCCACCACAGTCCTCCTGCTGTTGCAATCTGGTGTGAGGAGAGCAGTAGCTTACCGCAACACCTGACCAGCCTCTCCAGATCTCTAGACAGAAGCATTGCAGCTCTGCTGACAAAGCAGTAACACAGTCCTCCTCCCTTTAAACGTTTGCCAAAGTATTCAAATGAATGTTGATATTATCATTTAAAAACACATTGCGGCCCACTTGCACTTCACTCCCACCAGCTATAAAAACCATAGGTTCCCCTCTGCCTGTCATTAGCTCAGTCCAAATTTACAACCAAGTTTCTGCTGCGCCAATGATTAATGACATTTTAAGACGGTAATTAATTTTTAGCTACTGGAAAGACGTGCATTCTAATTAACGAACTGAGTATGCGATAGATTTACTTGTTCAGGCACTTTAGCGCACCACAGCAATGAACTTTCCTAGCAGATTTTTAGCAGCAACACGAATATTTATGACATTATCTACAGATCAGCCTTTCGTCCCTTCAGTTTGCTTTGGGCCTAGGAAAGCTGCAAAAGGTTTTGAAGGGAGAGGGAGATTGTTTAATGTTTTCCATGCTCAACTCCATCAAAAAGTTTCTAAGGAAAACATGAAGAGATGTTTTCACTCTAATGTATTCCTTCCTTTTGAGTGCTCACGGGGCTCTAGCAATCATGCCTCCACTCTGTAGGCAAGAGTGTCGCTTGCTTCACAGAGATAGTCTCAGCACCCTGGCAGGGTTAACGATGGCGCTCTCCCAAATAATTCAGAAATAAATGACGGGCGACAATCCGAGAGGGGGGTTGGCTGCACCTACAGTAGGTGCCAGGGCAGAGCCAGGAGGAGACCTCATGGAAGTACTGACTGCTGTCTACCCTCAGCTACAGCGAAGTTAGAGCCCGTTTCTCACCTCCTCTCCACCCAGGAGAGGTCTCATCCCAAGGCTTTGGGCTGGGGCCCCGAGTCTGTCCGGGAGCACCACTCCGGCTGCCGGGGGGCCCCACTCGCCCCGAGCGCGCCCCGGGCCACGGCCGCTGGCAGCTCCGGGATAGCGCGGGGCCCGGCGGCGCCGCGCCGGGGCTCCGCCGCCCTT